CTCTTATCCCCCCCACCCCTCCCACCACCTCCTATGTCACCTCATTTAATATTTTAATTTTTTTAAATTAACTTTTTTGGGGGGAGAGGTAATTAGGTTTATCCATCTATTCATTTAATGGAGGTACTAGGGCTTGAACCCAGGACCTTGTGCACGCTAGGCATGAGCTCTACTACTGAGCTATACCCTCCCCCGTCACCTCATTTTCGTTGCAGGTTAACAGTACGCCCTCCTCTGGGAACAGATCAAACACCAAGCATGTTACAAGGTGCCCTGGAGAAAGAGCATTTCTGCAGCTGCCTCGCCAGCTGGCAGCTAAATGACTGCTGAATGGAAGGAGGAGGTCCCCGAAGGGTGGAATGGTGACAGAATTAGTCACTGAATAAACAGAAACACCTTTGATCAATGCAATGGAATGTTGTCGGCAAACTGTGGCCCCTTCGCGCCCCACTGAGGGCGGTGCCCGCACGGCCAGGTGTGGTTTCTGGCTCCCTTATGGAAGGTTGAATGATACCGTGGCCATGTCCTGACACCCTGATATTTTCTGTCTCAGCCCCATGTTTGCTTCATTTACAACTCAGCCTCACTGTGAGTTTGTTCATGAGTGTTTACTAGGTTTTTGCCTGTGTTCCTACCTGGACTATAACCTAGGCACGCCCAGCAGAACGAGCCCTCTGCCCCCAGCTCCCAAGGCAAGGTCAACACGAGGAAAGAGAACAGACCTGCTCTGCCGGGTCCCGGGGCCCTGCGTCTCCCCGTGGGCCGCTCTGTGCAGCCGTGCCTGCTGCCTCCTGCACAAGGGGGCACATGACGACTGAAACCCATCCCTCGCTGTGCCCCCAAGCCCTGTGCTCTGTTCCCTGGTCTGGGTCTGTGAGGGCCCAGGGGAAGGGGCTTCTCTATCAAAGTCGTGCTGAGTGTTTTAGGAACATTTGGTAACCCACGTCTTGCTACCGGAACCCTGAATTGTCTTTGCATCCATTTTATGGATTGCTGTTCCCCGAAGGGTTAGAGCTCACTATCGTATCCTGAGTGTTGTACTGAACATCGTCAAGCTAATAAGGCTAGCAGGTAGCAGCAACTGCAGGCTTACTGTGCGCCTGGCAGGGCCCGAGGTAACAGAAGGCAGGAGAGGCATCCGGGTGCAAAATGCAGGGAGGCCTCCCTCTCCCGGTTGGGCAGGCGCAGAATGGGCCTCCCCGCGCTTCGCTCTGAAGATGCCTGGCTTGCTTCACCCTGGGGCCAGGCACCTTACTTCCACTGTCTCCGTTCTCCCTTATGGCAGCCCATGACTCCCCCACTGCATAGATGAAAAAACTGAGGCTAGGTGGTGCCACCCCTCCTCCCTAGTAAACTCCTTCTCCTGCTTGCACAGGGCGAGCCCTCAATTCACACCTGGTGATTAAATGGATGCAGGAGAGTAAAGTAACCCTGATCAGAAGGAAAGCCTTGGAGAGGCAGAGCTAAGGCGGTACCTGCTTTCACATGCCTCAGGCACTCGAATCCTGGCCCAGCTCTGGGCAGCAATAGAAGCTGGGGACACCATGACACTCAACAAACATTTAACACGCCAGCGGCACAGGTGAGCCTGTGTGGGGTGGCGGCGCTGACTCCCCTGGGCCTCTTGCAGCCTCTCTCCCAACCCTCTCTGCATTCCCTGTCATCGGAAACCAGCCGGGAGGGGCTCTTCCCAGCCCATCGCTCTCCTGAAGCACCTGCCTTTTCCCCCAAAAGACAATCTCCCCAAATTTCAGAACCCTTTGGAAAAAAATTCCACCTTGATTTGGGACCCCTTAAACTGAAAACTACGTTAGCCCGCCTCTCTCTTGGTTTTTATTTAGGGAGAGCATGGATCTCTACACCCCTGCTTCAAGGCAGTGCAATCCCAGCAGGGGCGATGAGGGTGGAGCCAGGTGTCCCCTGGTGCCAAATTTAAGGGGGCACTGGAAAACTCAGCCTTCAAGGGAAGTAATATATTTTAACACAATAATTTTAAATAACCAAAATTAATGCCGGGTCTGAGCTGATCTTTAATGAGCACGTTATTGTGTTCATGGTGGATGTTTTGGCCTTCATTTTAAAAATCTTAAAATAGCACCTGAAAATATAATTTATCTTGCTGACTAAGCTTCTTTGTGTCTCTTAAATTCTGCGCCCGAGGTCACTGTCTCACTCATCTCAGTGACGTCCTGGCCTGGACGGGATCCCAGTCCCACAACTTCCTTTCTATGAGATCTGGAAGGAGTCCCTCTCACCCCCCAACCCTCCCCCACCAGCCTCATTTTCCTAACTATCACCCGGAGATGATGATAACAACAAAAATAGCAGCTAAAATTTATTAAGCACACAGGCATTCCCGTGCATCAGTCCCCTCAGCCCTACTGGATGTCACTTTGATCTCAGTACTATTATGATGCCCACTTTACAGATGAGGAAACTGAGGCCCAGAGAGTCAAGTCATCAGCCTTGGGGCACCCAGCCACCCCATTGTGCAGCCAAGGCATCTGACAGTAATTCAGTCAGGCTCTGGACCACCCCTATCCTCTTAACACGTGATTCTTGAAGGCAGGAATCCCCGTTTCTCAAGGCAATGCAAATTCTAGAGCCTTGTTGCTGGCATCTGAATCCTCCCTCAAGGAGTCATCTTGAATGTTAAGTAAGACAATTTCTGCAAAGAGCCAGACTCACAAAAGGCACTCTCAGAGTCCTTCCCCTTGTCTCCATTACTTCCTAGACAATGCCCCTAGACACAAAGCTGACTATACTCAGGGAGGGGCGGCGCTTCTTGTCCTGATGGTGGTCTCCAAATTGCATAGCACACCCCTCCAAATGATGACTTTTCCCCAAGTTTTACACTCAAAATGACACTCAGTTGTTCCGTGCAAATAGGAGCTACTTCTGGTGCTTTGTCACTGAGACGGCCAGCACCGTCATTTAATCCTTGTGTGACCCTTGTAGGTAAGGCTATCTTTGGGTCCATTTCACAGATAGTGAAACTGAGGCTCTCGTTTGACCAACGCTGCAGTGAATCACCGGCAGAGCCGGAGTCAGACTCAGCCCTCTCTGTCCCCTGGCTTACACATTTCACTGCCTGCCACAAACAACAAACCCTCAAGCCATGCTTAAAGGATCTGGAAGCAGTTACCTGTTGAACCCCCGGTGGGAGTGTCTTCAGGCCCCCGGATTCACCTGGAGCTGCTTCTGCTCGGAGTGCCGTGTCTCCAGCTGGGCTGCGCAGTGCCAGGATGCCAACTGAGCGCGGCTCCCTGCCCTTTGCTTCCTCGTCTGGAACCTGAATACACAGAGCAGGGCAAACACAAGTCTGGGTGGGGCCCTCCTCTCCCCTGACAGCCCTGTAGAAGCAGGTTTTCTTCCTGGATTCAGGAGCCGTCCTCACCTCTCCAGTAAAAACCAGGTACCTGGCTTCTCTTGTGCTAATGCCTCCCTGGCACTGCAAGCATCCTGTCTGCTTACCTTCATCCACCCACCACAGCCACTCGAGCAGACCTGGGCAGCTAATCCCCTTCCCCAGTGACCAGGGGTCATGGGCGGGGCCGGGAAAACATGTTCTGTAAGGTTCTGCAGTTCTGTCTGCCTTTCACCTTCATTTTTTCCGGAACACCACCTAACCACCACCACCTAATCGGAAGGAAATAGCATCTCACCCCTGCCCCACCCCTAGTCATGCAAACTTCATGCCCCAAAGGCTTTGGATACTGGAAAGCAGGTAACTGAAGGGTGGCTTATTGCTCTGGAGACAGAGCACGGCACTGGAAAGAGCATTCTTTTCCTCTGCAGGGTAGAAATTAAAGACAGGCTATTGAATTGATTTAATTCCAGTGAGGATATTTATTAAGGTGTCTTAGAAAGACATATGCAAACATAAATAAAAAAGAAAACAAAAGAAGATAGAAAAATAAGAGTGGGTACATCGAATGGGACCAGGACCACAAATAAATGTGCATGTTGATTTATGAACTTGTTATAAAGGCTTCACAGATGTGGCTTCGGGCTTCCTAATAGCTAATGCAAAAAGGGAAACATGATAAATTGTATTATTCATTGTTCTTGAGAAAACATTCAAGACAAATACAAACCAGCAATTATTGTGGCTTTATTCATTAATATGTGCATCCACACGCCCATCACAGATACTCGTTAAGTACCAGGCTATACATAGGCCTGGATTTAGAGAAGTGAGGAAAAGAGGCCCTGTCCCCACCCTACCTGGGCTCATTATAAACACAGAGTCCTACAAACAAACGGAGAATCACAGGGCAGGAGCCTCATTATGAAACAAGAGCTGAGGTTGCTAAGAGAGAGAAACAGGGAGAGCTAGAGGAGACCCCTTCCAGAAAGCCACATGTAAGGGACAAAAATACTCCTTAAATAAATGCTGCATTTACAATTGGATGCACCATAATTAGGTCTATAAACTCGATTCCAGCTCGGCGCTGCACCTTTAAGTCTGGAATGTAACAAACCCAATTGCTAAGCAGCTGCCAGGCGCACATGCAGAGCCAGCACAAGTGCAGAGGCGATCTGGCCTGGATGGCCAAGGGCTTGGGCTCGGCCCAGCGCTCAGACTGGGATTCTGACCAGCTGTGGAGCGGGAGCCACTGCCCACCCCCGCCTCCATCTCTGACGCCCCTCCGGGCTGCTAGCGCGTTTGTGTTTCTGTCGTGCTCGTTTTCGTATCCCTGATCCTGCAGAACGAACCAGACAGCCCTTTGCCTGCATTTTACTCTTTGCAAAGCACTTCACCCCCATCCATCTCAGTTGCATCCACACCGTGATTAGGAATTTTGCACCCATTTTACAAATGAGACACACGAGGCTTAGGGCTGCCATGAAGGAATATCATTCCGGCACTTGGCGGCGTGTGTGGCATGTCATGGACTCTCCTCCAGTGTCAACTGAGTAGAAACGTCGGCTGGGCTGGGCTGCGTGATTGGCAGGACCCAGTGCAAAAGGGAAATGCACAGCCCCTCATTCTAAAAGCAGGCACGAGTCCAGTTAGAGGTCCTAAAATAGAGCGTCTTCCTCTCTTCCGCAATCTCTCTCCACTTGTTATACATTTTATTTGCTATTCTAAGTCACTCTAAGTAAAGAAAAATGAACATTTTAAATTATTAGCTTGAATCCTGCCATTCATTTTTCTACTGTGCAATCCCGATTTTACACGCAAGGAGCTCACATGCAGAATCCCCCAAATCACACAGGTCCTATTTCTTTTTTAGTAAAACCGAGTAAGCCACACAGACTCGGTTGCTTTGATTTCGCTTCTAGACACACACATCCCCGCGACACGCTCCACTTCCAGTGCACCGACGAGGAAGGAAGGTTCAAAAGGCAGAGAAGCTCCTGGCTGCTCCGTCTTTCCTTTTCTAAGTCATTGGTTCTCACAGGGAGGTAACATGAGTAAGAAAGGGTACAACAGGGTTCTTCTGTTGTTCAAGTTTCTTAGAATGCATTACCTTCCTTCTGCATCTGAGACAATTTCTGATTTGAATGGAAACTGTGGCTTCTCAGGTCCACCAGTGTGGCTACAAACTCAGCTATAGATGTAACATGCTTATCTGGTACCCCACCTGAGGCTCACTGAATACCCCACCCATCAGTGTCCACTGCAGCCCTCTGCCCGCCGGGTACCATGATGCTGTGTGAGTGCAGCAACGAACAGTGGGCCTGTGTATTGCACGTACTTCCTCAGCTCACGTACATGCTTCCTTTCTCATCAGATTTTTTAAAACTTTTTTTTAGGTTCCCAGCAAAATTGAGAGGAAGGTAAGGGGCTCCGCCATATACCACCTGGTCCCACACATGCATGGCCTCCCGCATGATCAACATCCCCCACCAGGGTGGTACATTTGTTATGATCAATGAACCTATGTGGACCCATCACATTACCCCAAATCCATAGTTTTGATTAATGATCACTCTTTTTGTTTGTTTGTTTGTTTTGTGTGTGTTTTAATATATGTATTTTTATTGAATTACAGTCAGTTTACAGTGTGTGTCAATTTCTGGTGTACAGCTCAATGCTTCAGTCATATAGGAACATACATATATTCGTTTTCATATTCTTTTTCATCATAAGTTACTACAAGATATTGAATATAGTTCCCTGTGCTATACAGTATAAACTTGTTGTTTATCTATTTTATATAGAGTAGTTAGTATCTGCAAATCTCGAACTCCCAATTTATCCCTTCCCACCCTCCCTTCCCTAGCTGGTAACCATAAGTTTGTTTTCTCTGTCTGTGAGTCTGTTTCTGTTTTGTAAATAAGTTTGTCTTTCTTTTTTTTAGATTCCACATATGAGTGATATCCTATGGTATTTTTCCTTCTCTTTCTGGCTTACTTCACTTAGAATGGCTTCATTCACCAGAATGACGATCTCTAGGTCCATCCATGTTACTGCAAATGGCAGTATTTTATTATTTTTATGGCTGAGTAGTATTCCATTGTATAAATAGGCCACAGCTTCTTTACCCAGTCCTCTGTCGATGTACGTTTAGGTTGTTTCCATGTCTGGGCTGTTGTACATAGTGCAGCTACGGACATCGGGGTGCATCAGATCACTCTCAATGTTATACATTCTATGAGTTTGGACAAATGTATGATGACATGTATCTGCCACTGTAGTATCTACAGAACAATGTCCCTGTCCTACAGATCTTCTGTGCTCTGCCTAGTCATCCATCCTTCCTCCAAGCCCCTGGAAACCAGTAACACTTTAATTCTCCATAGTTTTGCTTTTTCCATGTCATATAGCTGGGATCATACAGTTTGTAGCCTTTTCAGACTGGCTTCTTTCCCTTAAGAATTTAAGTTTCACTCAAGTGGTACTTCACTGGCATTAAGTTTCCTCCATGTCTTTTCATGAATTGCTACCTCATCTCTTGTTAGCGCTGAGTAATATTCCACTGTCCGGATATACCTGTTTATTTATCCATTTATCTACTGAAGGACATCTGGGTTACTTCCAAGTTGGAGCAATTATAGATAAATCTGCTTGCTATAAATATCCATGTCCAGGTGTCTGTGTGGACTTAAGTCTTTAATTCCTTTGGGTAAATACCGAGGAATGCACATGCTGAATCATATGGTAAAAGTATGCTTAGTTCTATAAGACACTGCCAAACTCTTACAAAGTGGCCATCACCTTCTGCACTCCCACCAGCAATGTACGAGAGCTTCCATGGCTCCACATGCTCACCAGCATTTGACGTCATCAGTGCCCTAGTCTGACTGTTCTAACAGGTACTCCCATCAGATTTCACTAGGATAAAATTGTCAAAAAAAAAAACAGATAAAATTGTTAAGAATTTCAAGATGGTGACCACAGAGTATTTTTTTAATTGAAGTATACTTGCTTTGCAATGTTTCAGGTGTTTAGCAAAGTGATTCCGTTATATATACATATACATATATTTCTTTTTCAGATTCCTTTCCATTATAGGTTATTACAAGATATCGAATTTAGTTCCCCGTGCTATAAGTAGGTCCCTATTGTTCACCTGTTTGATATACAGTAGCGTGTATCTGTTAATCCCAAACTCCTAATCCATCCCTCCCCACCAACCACAGAGTATTGAGTCAAGTAGCAGAGAGTCCTCAGAAATACAGACTTCTTGGTGGAAGAACTCACTTCTCACTGTCCACACGGCAGGCGCTGCCCCCGGCCGTGCATACTTTACGTGGTGTTCACCATCATGTCTCCCGCCTGGTCCTCCCCTTAATCTTCTTTCTTGACGATCTCCACCCCTCTTCAAATATTGACAAACTTGTGGAGTTGTCAGCTCCTGTAATCAAACTGCCTTCCTGGAATCTGGCCTGGAGCTCGTCCCTGTGCCCGAGAGTCATCGGAAAGCTGGAATCTGAAGTCTCTCTGCACCTTTTCCAGGCCTTTCCTTCCTCCTACAGGCAGGCCTCTCATGGACCCTGAGCCAATTTCAGCCGTGGTTTTGGTCACTGAGCCAGAGGAGGGCATGACTCAGACATCACAGCGTGGTCATGCATACCCACCCTGCTTCAGCTGAGACAGAAAATCTAATATGCTCACTGTCTTTTCGTTTGTTTTTACGTCATTTTTCAGATCACTTTCTTGTACAGTATCCAATGTGTTCCTTAGTATAATCCTAGGACATTAGAAGTGTCTACTTGGGTAAGGAGGAAACAGAGATTCAGAGAAGACAAATGTCTTGCTCCAAATCAAACCATGAATTGACACTGGAGCCAGTAAAAGGCTAAACCCAGGGCCCAACCTTGATTAGAAAT